AATTATATGGGTGTCTATGGGTCGGGTTGGCTCATGGACCAGGTGTTTGGTAGAAAATATTAGGCCCGATAATTGGGCCATTTGAGATCGAGTCCAATATTCTTCAGGAGAGAGATTGAGTTTGCTCCCAAGTCTATTATTTGGCCTGAAATTCGGTTCATTAACCTGCCGACAAAAATAAATTCGTTAAAACCCGGCCCAAAAACTTGCCTCCCTACCTTGCTTGTCCATCAACATTGTTTGAAAAAAAATTTGACCATTGAAAGTAAAACAAATATGTAGTAAGCATACATTGCATGTTTTCCGGTAAATAAACTTGCTTTGAAGTGTAGAATTGTGCAAATAATAGATATGTGAGTATGTGTTAATCTAGTTGTGTGTTAATCTAGTTGTAATGTGTTCATTATATTGTGATATAGTTTCTCTCTTATTTATAAATAAAATTATTTATTATTTGTTTTTTATTTATTTTAACTCTATTTTTAATTCAAAAGTATAATTTACAAAAATACTAAATTATAAAATTTTTAAAACTAAGATGTGTATATATATTTAAGCCTGTCCAGTAGGCCCGCTCAGTGAGTGGTGGGTTGAGCTTAGGATTGCCTATTCTTACCCGAAGTTCGACCTGACCCGCCTAATAACTCACCTTGGTAATGGTTTGAGTCTATCCTACCCCAAGCCCAACCCAAAAAACATTTCACGGGCATAACCCAGCCCGGTCATGGACACCCCTATTTAATTACGACACCTAAAAGGGGTAATTTAATTACAACACCTAAGTTATTTTAATTTTAAAAATGGAGAGTCCACTAGAGAGCATCCAAATATGTGATGTGGTCTGTGTGACATAATTAAACTGATTTTTCTTTTCAAATTATACCTGAATTTTAATTTTAATTTATTAAGTAATCAATTAATTTTGTCATATACATAAAGGTATATAGACACAATTTATGTCATCTGGGTTTGGGATGATTTTTGTCCTAGAATTTGGTTGGTAGCCATTTTTTTTTTAAAAAAATTAACTTTTAATTATAACACATTTTTTTTCCTTCTTTAAACTGATTTAATATAATTAAAGGTAATTTAGGTAGTTGTAAAAATTGTAAATTTTTCTCTCTTTCATACAATAAAATGAATTTTTTTAAAACTTGCTTGCAATTTTTCATGTTAACCAAATACCTGCATAAAAATATTTGTTTTTCTTTCATATTACTTTCTATTATTTATCCTTTCCATTATTCTTTTTTTTCTTAACCAGATGGACCTGAAGGATGATTTAATATTAGAATATAAAAAAACTGGTGGACAACTTGTACGATACACGAAATTTGTTATACCTTCCTACCATCACCCTACCACTAAATCTTCTCAAATCCAATTCTTATAAATGTGTTAAAATGATGTTAATTTAAATTTTAAAAAGATAATTAAAATTTTAAATTTAAAGTAATTTAAAAAAAATGGTGAAAGTGATACAAAAGACACATGAAATAATTTAATTAGGGTCAACTAATTACATATTTCACAACTCTAATAATTAAGTTTTTAAGGAGGGAATTCTTGGTCTCTTTCCTTAATTTGATTCTTATATATATATATATATATATATTGAAATGAAATAAGGCCAAAACCAAGTAAGTCTTTTTAATACTGACAGCTTTATATAGTAATTTTAAGCACAGAGAGAGAAGAACAAATTAATAAAAAGAAAATTAAAAGATGTTTTAATCCATTTGACTAACTTAGACCTATTTTCCCCGGCCCAAATCTTTTTTACAAGGATTGTTTGGTTGTGGGTACAATTTTTTAGACTTATTTGAGGAAAAATATATGTATAAGTTGTTTACTTTATTAAGTTTAATTTTAATAAAACATTTTGTGTTTAGGGACAAAATTCAAATGAAATCAATTTTTTTTTACCTAATACCCTCCCTTAAATTATATATTATTGATTTACAGTTATATATCTAATCATATATGTAAAGATTTCATTAAACTCTCTCACTATTTTTCACCTATTTTTCTCCATCTCTCTCTCCCCCATTACTTTCCCCATCTTTCTCCTATTTTTTCTCTCTATCTATCATTGATAATTTATTTTCTTTTCAAATATGTAAAATTTAATTTATTTTTTCATACCTCTCCCATATTTTCTCTTTCTCTCTTCCTATTTTTCTCTATTTATATCACCATTATAATAACACAATTACACTAATCAGTTATAATTGTCCTATAATATACAAAACAGTTACTCATGAGTTCTAATAAACCAAACAGTTACACCAAACAATTACACAAAATTATAATACCAGCATAATTTGTTATTCAGTTGTTTACATAAATTAAATAGTTGAACCATTTAGTATCGCGACATTATTATACTAATTATATATATCAAATTTAGTATAATAGTAAAGTCTTTTGTGTAATAATAAATTCAATTTGATGTATATAATTGGTGTTATTATGTCATAATACTAAATGATATAATTTTTTGATTTATGTAAATAACTGAATGGCAAATTGAGTTAGTATTGTAATTTCGTATAATTGTTTAGTGTAGTTGTTTGGTTTATTAGAACATATGAGTAACTATTTGATGTATTTATAAGATAATTGTAACTAATTGGTGTAACTGATTAATGTAATTGTGTTATTGTAATGTTGACTTAATGAGAGAGAATAAGAAAATAGAGGGAGAGAGAGAAAAAATAAGGGACAGATAAAAAAATTAAATTAAATTTTTATATGTTTAAAAATAAATAAATTATCCATGTGAAAGAAAGAAAAAATAGATAGAGAGAAAATAGAAAAAAACAATGGAAGAAGAATAGTGAAAGAAGGAGAGAGGGTAATAGAATAATATATTACCGTAATTTAAATTACCTTTTTTACAAAGTAATTGTTGAGTGGTAGTGCTATACAACACGTGTATAGATAGATAGGTTCTCCACATGTCTAAGTTACCACTAAAATTTGAGCAGGTGGCAGCGTTGTCATTTCATACCCATTGTCCTTACCTGTAATGGTGTTTTCCAAAAGTGCAAAATGTTGCTTTATTATTTGTGTCCTCTGTCTCACACTCTCTCTCTCTCTCTCCGTCTACACATTGTTCGCCCCCAATAAGCTAAACAACTAGAGTGAAAGAAATTGTGGAGGAAACCGCCTTCCTCGTCTGTAAACTCCATGCAAGTTCGCCTCGTAGTTATAGGTATGGTAGTATGTATACGTGTGGTATCTGTGCAGAATATGGATATTTATTCAACTATTGTTGTTCTCTTTACCAATTTAATATCCGCATGTCATGTTTTACGGCGGAGAGCGTGATTATACATAAGTTCTTGAGTACCTTTTAGTCCTCATATTTAGGCACGCACACAGACATGCCCTACTCGCACTACAAAAAAGTTGATGTTTAGTGAAGAAAAAATTCGTCACTAAAAGCATAAAATTTTTGGTGATGAATTTTTTTTGTCGCCAATTTATCGTGGAAGACTCGTCACTGAAAGTTTTGCACGACAAAATTTGAAATTTATGGCCAAAATTGATTTTTTTGGCAACAAAATAGATACTCGCTGCAAAAGATTAAATTTTCAACGACGGATATGTCATTGCTAAAAATGCATATGTTTATCGGAATACATTGAAGTTCGTCATAGAAAAACTGTAGATATTTTTACTTATGACTTTTTACAACAATTTATATTCGTCGCCAAAAGTGTTCAAGACTTTTAGCAGCGACATTTATTTGTTGCCAACAATCTCTTATTTTAATTTTTCACATTTGAAAATTGTCAAAAAAAAAAATTACCGAAATTAAAAACATCAATATCCATAAAGGCAATACCAAGAAGTTCGTTAAATGCACTTTTATTCAATTAAAGCAATATCTTGCCAATACAATCATCCTCATTTAAATAACTTAATATTGTGTCTAATACATGAAATATTAATTAACTATATTGATAATAAAAAAAAGTAAAAAATTAGGTCCACAACTTCATTGTATCTTTGGTACCCCAAAATCTAACGCATGTGAGATTCAGCATAGCATTTCCAATTCCTCATGTCATCAACATTTGATGTAATAATATCACTTCATAAATAATTCTTGTACTCTTCAAAAAAAAGGATAAGGCTCAAAAAATTTATCCCGATCAACTTTATTTGCCTCCAAAGATACTATAATGGAAAGAACTAAATTAAGAAATTTCAAGATCAAGTAGAGTGATAATCATTAAACCTGATTTTGAGCGCTTATTCAACCAAAGCGGCGGTCAAGGCAAATTGTACTTTGTTACTAAAACTATCAACCATCCTAATCTCCCTCCCATCATCTTCATCTATCAGTATTCTAAATTAACCAATTTTAAATAGTATTGTGGTATTTGTAGTATTTTCATTTTCACCAAATATTAGAATTATTGTTGTGTTTGGTTTAAATATTTTATGCATACGAAATGCTCAATTACAATGCCAGAGTCTTTGAGATGAGTTTACTCATACTAAAATATTTGTAGTAATTTTCTTATTGTCAAGTAAATGTTTTGTTTAGAATTTTGTAGTTCTAGAGGTAATGAAAGTGAGAATAAAGTTAATCAACAAATATGAAAAGATATTGGTCTTTTAGTGGCGAAATTAAAATTGCAGCTAAAAATATATCCATTAAAAATAAAACAAAAAATTATATTTGTTGCTGAAGATATCGGAGTTAATCTATTTAGCGACAATTTTAAAGTTGCGACAAAAATGCAATACTAATCCGCCACTATTTTTTTGATACCAAAGGTTGTGGCTAAGTATTTCCCAATCCACATTAAAACGTTTCAAACTCTCATGCTCTCCCTCTCCCTCTGTTATCTATCGCTTCTCTATCCGGCCGGTGACTTTCTCCGGCCGATGACTTTTTCTGGCCGATGACTTGGACTCGATATCTCCTATATGCGTTTGCTCATTCACTTTTTCTCTCTCTCCGATGACTTGCACTGAGTTTCTCTAGATTGGTGCTTTTGAGAGGTAAATTTCTATTTTCTTTTTATATGATTCATTACTTTAATTTAGTATAATTTTTTTGAAACATATTGCAAGACAATTAGTAGCACAGGAACTAGACCGAAAAACTGAATCTGTTAGTTCTATGGGGATTATATGTGGATTAATGGTTGATAATAAAAATCATAGGCTCTTTGTGGTGTACTATGGCAGTACGAGTGATGTGGATATGGTGTATTGTGTCGCCGTCCTCTTTGTGTTGAAGAACCACAAGGTAGGGTTTTCCTTTGGATTTTTTTTTTGTTTATTTATCTCTGGTTTTGTTTCTCTCGGATTGGGTTTATATCCAAAATCTAAAGGATTTGGAATGTAAATCATTTGATTGGGGAAAAGGCAATTGATCCTTGTATAAGCCCCTATTGAGTTAGTAGGGAGAATTGGACACAATTTTCTCTTGTTAAGGAATAATAGAATCAACTAAAACTAATTGAGAAGGAGGGCAAAATATGTCCCTTGTTTTTGCTTATATGTTAGTAAATTAGGTCCCAATAGCATTGCTCTTGATGGGGTTTACAATGAATCCAAATGTCACAGGAAATTAGGTTAGCAAATTATCTCGGTAAATTAGGTTCCAATAGCATTGCTCATTCAAATATCTGTTCTCTGCTTGCTGCTCTCTCTTCTCTCCTCTTCAGGTATTCAATTATTTTTTTTCTTATTCTTCAACTTCTCCTCACCAACTATCTGGTTTTGATGAGTAATTTTAATCAGTTATGAATACTTTTGTTAGTAAGATATTAATTAGTTTACACTACCTCCAATCAGCAGATTAGATTTATTTGGGCGTAACTGCGATAGTTTTGTTTGGGTGCAACTAACAACCTCTTGGTGGTGTTCATTCTAGTGCCATAATTGTCAGTTTCTTTCTTATTAATCAAGAATAAACCTAAGCTGTACTTGATTACAATTTACTTTTGATGGACTTTGCTGTTTTTGTTTAGGGATTTTTGTTTTGTGTTTTGTTGTTCCTCTGGTTTCAATCACTGTGAAGCTCCCTTTGTTCAATCAGCCTTTCACGGCTATGTGGTTTGATCCAAGCACACAGCAGTCATTAAAAGACTGCCTATTGTGCTACAAATACCCAAAACAAAAAGTACCTTGAAGAATCTGTTGAGGGTACTAACCTGACATGATCCCTTCTTACCTATTTGGTTTAAAGGCATCTGGAGGTTCGTCAAATGAACTTAGTTTGGAACCTTGCTTTGAAGTATAGATAAGCATTACCGCTTATCTTATTAGGCTTTATGCCTTAGGAACATCATATAACTACGGGGAGACATAGTTTTTGTATTGGAATGCCTTTGCTTGCCAACACCAAAGTTTTCTGCTTAAAGATGATTCTGATCTGCCACTAGGACATAGAACATCATAATCACATTCAATATACATACATTTATATGTGTATTGTTTCTATTAAGGTATCTAATGCATTATGGCATGCTTCAGTTTCAGCTCACTACCTTCTGCACCTTCTGCCAGCATAAAAAAGAGTTGGGGGCAAATTCTTACTTCTCTTTATTCTGTATGGGTAAGCTATCTTTAATTGAAAGTTAATCAAGTTTGGGTATTGTGTCATCGTCATCTTCATATCTGAGAGATGTCGGTGTGTGGGCTTTTCCCCACAAGTCATACACTTTTCATTGGAGACCATAGACCCTTAACCCAAGCACCTAGACCAAGACCACCTGTTTTCTATTCTTCTCCTTCTCCTTCTCTTTCTGCTTCTGGTGCTACTTCTCCTAATCCTTACCACCCCAGACCAACGGAGATAAATAACTCAAAAGCGAGACTGTCAGTTCTTGTGAGCAAAAGAATGGTGAGCCTCTCCATTTTAGCAGTTATATTATCTGCTCCCTTGACAAGCTTCTCTAAATCAATTTCTGAAGATTTGGAGCTTGAAAGATACACTGATCTGAAAGAGGGTTTCACCCTCCTCAAACCCTCTTCTTGGATTAAGGTTGATAAAGCAGGTGCAACTGTTTTATTTGAAGAGGCAAGCAAGGGAGTTAATAATGTCGGAGTAGTGGTTAGCCCTGTTCGTATTATGAAACTCAGTGATTTTGGGAGTCCTCGATTTGTGGCAGATAAGCTAATTCAGGCCGAAAGACGGAAGGAAAGCACAAAGGATGCTGAGGTGATTGCTGTTTCAGAGAGATCTGGCCCGGGAGGCCTACAAGTCTATGAGTTTGAGTATGAAGTTGATAGCACCAGAGGAGGAATGAAGAGGGTTTTTTCCGCTGCATTTGTGGCATCTAAAAAGCTCTATCTTCTAAATATTGCTCACTCTGACAAACCAGAGAGTCCTCTAAACACAGAAAAGAGAATGATTCTTGAAGAGGTTCTTCATTCCTTTGATGTTGTACCATTGACTTGAATGATCATCACGACATATTTTTTTTCTCCCTCTATTTCAGGTTCCTTTTCTCTAGTGCTTGATTCCAGAGGTATGCCACTCCTCCCCACTTCAATTTATTTTGAAGTGTGGGGTTTTCAATAGCTGTCATCAATGCTTTCGCTTTACTTTTTTTCTTCAGCAATAATTATTTTTTACCTCTTTATTATTTCTTCTCTTCATTTTTTTGTAGACAATAAGGGATCCGTTATGGTCTATTAAGGAACATAGTGTTTGGGAAATTTTCTTCATATGAAAATGTTGAGCTAAAAAATGAACTGAAAGATAATTACCGCTGCTTGTTTGAGGGACTTGCTTATCTTGTTCCACAGTCCAACAAAAAGGAAAGGACAGTTTGGTTACTGTTGGGTTATAGTTAGAGTTAAAGACCAATAGAATTAATGGTGTCTGAAACCATGGGTAGAAACGGTAAGTTCTCTTTGACCAAAAGTTAATTATAACATTGACTATGCTTCTAATTTTTATTTGATTATTAGTTCAAGTTAAGGACCAATATTATTGGTTTCTACTGGTAATATGCTTCACTCATATATTGGTAAGAGGGGTGGGTGCTCAAGTGTGAGTAATAGGCGATATATAAGATGTGAGAGATGTCCTTCATGTGTAGGTATGACTCACAATCTATAAGTGTCTCCTAACAGATTGAGACGTCTTATAGTAACAGAAAAACCAATTTAGTAGAATGGGCGCCATCCTTGCAATAGATGAGGCAGTTGCAGAGAGGGCGTAGAGATCTCCTCAAGACTTGGTCCATGGATAGCGTGGCAGACCTCCTCACCTTAAGATGACGTTGTTGACTCCTTGACTTTATGATGACTTGGCTCTTAGGGTTTTGGTAAGCCTGACTAGATTTAGGTCTCTTTTGGGTCAGACCTATTGGGGCTTATCTGGGTTGGGACTGATCTGGGCCGGGACTATTATCTGAGTTGGGGCTTGGGCTGGACCCATCAGAAGTGATGCTTGCCAGTTCAGACTAGCCCACACCTGTGCTCTACTCCCACATACCATCTGGCATCAATGGGACAAACATCCCCTCATCCTGTGCTATCCTACATTTAGCAACCATATTGATGAGTCTTGTTGTGAAATGTGTGAGAAATAAATAAATGTTAACTGTTGGATCCACTATTGTAGTGATTGTGATCAATCGTTTCATCACAAATGCATCAAAGACCAATATTTAAGTGTGGAGGCCTCTTTGAAGTTAATTGTCACCCACACCCTCTAACATTTGTATGAAAGACTAAGAAAAAGTCTTCGTATTATTGTTGTGGTGCTTATTCTAATAGTGGTAGGAAGACCTATATTAGAATGTGGAGAGTCTAATTATACATTATGTCTAAAATGTATTACTCTGAGTATTTTGACTTAACTTTTGTTATAAATTCTAATGGTTGAGAGGATCATGGAAATGTATTATTTGTTAAGCAATGTTGTAGTCCACAAACACCCCATAAAACAGGATAATGCTTGAATAGAGAAGAGCACACTAAATAAAGCCTATGCAATCAATATCATTTCCGTTTTGCCGTAGTGAGATAAAGAACATAGTGGAATAGTCAAATATTATTTGTCCTAGTTTGTAATTGGAAGTGAGGAAGCTTGCGCCATTAGGCAAAAACAACATAAAATGACATCATATTATTTACAAAAAAATGATGTTACTAATATCTAATTTATTGATTTAATTTTCGGATTTAATCTACCAAAATTGTTGGATTGATATTATATTTCATCCAATATCGAGATTTCCTGCTAATTAATCTAATGACTATGATGAATCAATCAATAAATTAGGTTCAAGGATCCACTGCCTATTCAAGATTTTTTATCCTCATTTTAAACCTTTCTTTGAGCATATTCCAATAGAAACCGCTTCCCATCAATAGAAAATTTTTTTAAAAAAAATTACGGTTAGCAACAACCCCATTCCGACTTTGGTCCTTAAAACATTTTTTTTTTCTTTTTTGTTGTTTTGTATTAATTTCATCCCTCATGTTTTATACTTCTACACCTTAATCTTGTTAGTAATTGTTGTCTAATTCTAAATAGAAAATGCCACTTGTTGTGCATATGATACTTTTGAGGGCATTGACCGAAAATTATATTTTACACTTTGAAAGATTTTTTGATTCTCGGTATGCATTCTCAAAGTCATGCAAAATAAACTACTCAAAACCACTCCATGGCCGCTTCTCATAATTTAAAAAAATAACAAAGAGATTTAACCCAAAAAAAATAAAAAAAATACTAAACTAACTATAAACGAAGGGAAAATACTGACCCAACCAGTAAAGGGAAAACCAGCAACTACAAATACCCTAGTTTTATATGCTCATCACAAGGTTATAAGAATCTGGTGTTGGTGTTCTTACTGGGTTGATTAAGCATTGCACTAGTAACCTTTTAAACTAAATTCATTAAATATCTTTTCTTGTTAGGAAACGAAAATGTATGGTTCCAACCATAATCCTATATTAGCCGCTTGGGTAACACACATAAATTGTTCACAAATCATGCACATCATGTAAACAAGGATTGTGTTACGAGAATCAAAACTAGAGATTCTCCATATTAAATATTTTCTTTTTTATCTTCATATAGTTTGAAAAAAATTCAAGACATCTGTATTTTTTCAGTTAGATATTGGTGTAGATTGGTTATTCTTTTAATTGTTTCATCCTCAGAGTTCCTCCATGAACACGATGTTGGAACAACAACAAAATGGCACAATTTTGTAAGTGATACGATGTTGTTTTGTTGCCATTGGTGGAACAATCACCTCTACAGTACAACGTTGGAGTTGTTCCTTAAATATAGTGAAGGGCAATTCTCAATGGGCCACCCTAGTGCTATGGACCTTTCAGCTCTTTCTTAGGTAGTTGGTGAAGCTATTTGGGCTTTTTGAGCAAGCCCTGCTGGACACTTTAGAATCACAGTTCAGACATACTAATGTGTTATGGGCTTGATTCAAGATAGAGGGGTCCAATAAATAGATTTTTTTTTTCTTCTTCTTCTACTAGGTGGTGTGTCTTGGGTCTGCAACCTCTTTGCGACGTAGATACTAAGGTAACTTAGCACATCACAGTTGGTGTCGAAAATAGTGACAAATGTCCTGCAGTGGAGGTTCGAATCCTTTGAATTAAGGGCCTTGGGTCTACATAGGATACCAGAATGCTATAGTGGGAGGAATGAGTATATATAATCACCTTCACTTCAACTACTAAACACCAAGGGGAACGATGCAGTAGTACTGTCAAGACAAAAAATTGCAGTAAGTGGACTGAATTGCTCAGCATTATCTTGTTTATTAAGAGGAGAGAGAGAAGTTTGGAACTTTTTATTTTATTCTGGCGTTTTAGTGTGTTTTTGTTTCTTTGGACTTTTTTAGTCTAGAATTCTTTAGACCATTCTAGTTAAGAGCTGATAACCCTAACAAATTTTAGGGTCCTTAGCGATTGTTTAACTTGCCAGTCTTATGGGCGCCGCCATGGACATTGGTGGCCAATTTTGTTTTGTCAAGGTCCTTATATAAGTTATACTATCGGTAATTTGTGCCTGAAGATACGGTGCAAGTAAAAAGTGATGAATTTGAAAAGAGAGAGAAATTTAATATGAATAATTTTGAGAGGGATATTAGTGACCGTTGGATGAGCTTATTAAAATCTGCTCTGTTTTATATTATAGATTTAATTTACGAGGGCAAATTGTATTTTGTATATATAAGAATTTATATTTTGTACCTTCAAAGATTAGATTTTTGTATACCTCAAATATTAGATTTTTCACATTGTACCCTCAATGTTTTGAAAGCGTTTCATTGTGGACTTTTCGTTAGTTTCTGTTACTAATTTTGTCACAAAATCAATGAGGTGATTTTTAATAGAATAAACAATGGAAGTTAACAGAAGGGTCACATTGTTACACTTTTTAATACATTGAAAGTACACTATGAAAAATTTAATCTTTAAGCGTACAAAATCTTTTAGACCATGTTACTATCATATCATTAAATTAAAAAATTACATTAATTTTTTCAGGTCCTAAAAGCATTACTCATTGAGAAAGCCAAAGTTTCCTTTCTCCTTCATGATGTCCACCATGGGAGCTGCACATTTTTTTTTGGGTTGGGGGGGGGGGGGGGGGGGGGGGGGGGGGGGGCTACCTTCAATTATATATGTATACTAGAAATTGCATGTGTCGTTAGGCACGTTAAATATAAAAAAATAATATTTATAAAAAATTAGGATTAAAATTCAGCAACTCTTCCTCAGAATCATACAATCAAAAAATAAATTATTTAGCATCCCTAATTTAGAGGGAAGAAAGATATAGGAGAAAGAATACTTCTTCTGGCATTTGTTAGCTTGAAAAGGTACGAAATTATTATGGTTTTAAGTGGGCAGGGGTTTTTTTTTTTTTTTTTTTGGGGGAGGAGTATTTTCAATCATGAAGTTAGTCTACCACAATAGTGACCAAGTATAACGCCTAAAAATACACCCTAAAAGTCATTACTATTTATAATCATTCATATCATGCGAGCAACTAAATAAATCCATAAAATAAACGAAATTCCGTTCGTCATCCATAACAACTAAAGTATCGTCCAAAAATAAATATGCCAAACTATGACTTTATATCTGAAAGACTAAATATTCTCTTGTAGCGAAATAAGTAAAACATTATGCTTAACATTGTCTCTAAATGAACCACCCAGTTTAGAACATTAAAAAACAACTCTAAACTTCCACCTCAGGATCCTCGTTCCCCTCAATTTGAGCTTACCAATGTACCAGCCTCTCAGATCCGAGCTCTTCCTCTAACCCATATTCTTAAAAAAAATGTTGTTTATTGGGAGTGAGCACTAAATTTTGTAGGAAAATCCTCCCAAATTCGAACAAGGTTTTGAAAACATATAAAATAAGTCGGTCTCATTTCACAAATATCATATATAACTTTTGAAAGAAAACAGTAACAGTT